CAATTGCATACAGTATTCTTGGAATTCTCAAAGGAGATTTGCGTGCTTATTAGGCCAAGACAATTCAGCAGGCATTGGAGCACGAGTAGTTCTCGGAGTATTTCTAGTGTTGGTAGTAGTATTAACTATAGTCTTATTAGCATTAGTAGCAGTAGTAGTATTATTCGTTGTTTTGATAGTGGAAGATATGTCATCAACTATGATTATTATTGTTTGAGCAAAAGTCGCTCCGATTAGGAGAGATGGAGCCTAGAGAAAAAGGTTTTTTCGCTATGAAAAGTATGGACGCCAGTTTCAAACTCACCGCGAAAACAGCAGCTCTCTGCATCTTGGAAATCTTATGAAAAATTGAAAACTCTACGTTAGGAGAAATAGGCAAAGTCAAAAAGTAAGGAGTTTAGAATAAGATTGTAAATGACTGATGACAACTTCTTACTCGGGTATAAAATTAGTCTAATCAGAAAGTACAGTTCTACATGACATTGTGTGACAAGGTTGCTGCTGATTTTATCTGAAAACCACCAGCGCAACAAAATTTTATTTAAATCACTGAACATTTGCAAATATGTACTATGATACTTAGAAGTTCAACGTACTATACACTTCCAGGTCCCAAAATCAAATTTGCCATACAAAATCTCGCACTTGACCTTTGAAGTAACAACTCAATAAGATAGTCAGAATCAGAACAGTTCCTATGTTCAGTGAGGAGAAAGGCCCAATGCGCTAGACTTCCGCAATGTTGAAATATTACTGTATTAGTAATTTGAATTAGTGCAATAAATTTTAAACTAAATGTGAACTTCATCTTTTGTCCACTTAAATTTTTGATGCTGACTGATGATCTGGAGCAGTGAAGGTCAAGAACCAGGGGTGTTTGATTGCTGACCCTTTGACACTGATTCTTCCTCACCTTGAGCGGTTCAACTTCTAAGCGAAATGTTCTAAAATTTGTTCAGACTTTGCCTTGGAAACTGTTAAAAGCTAAGACAAATCCCTTAGCGTTGGTAGAAGTTGTTTTTGTTTTAAAATGATTTAGATCTTGCTGATTTACTGATACTGTGAAAGCAGCGAAGGCTTTTTTTGAAAAGAAAATGAACTGGTGTCTGCTATCGAAATTAGCTCTTTCGATTTGCGATTCTGTTGTTTCATCATCTGATTTTTATATACAGCGCTCAATCCAATATTTATTTCATGTGTAAATGAAACTTATTAACACAACAAACGCAATCGACGGTCATACCTTGCAATTCACTGCAATATATTTCTGAAATATTGCAAAATTTTATTCTTATTTTTGAAAGAGGTACACAAATACAACAGAAGCTTTTTTGAAAAGCGATAATATACTAAACTATAAGTTTGATTGATTTCTTTAAATGATAAACCTACCTACTTATTTGATCATTCAATTATTGCCACAGTTCAGTTTTCTCAAAAAGCCTTCAAGCCATAAGACATCAACATTCAATCTGACAGTAAGGAAATTCAATCTACAAATATTTGATAAATCGAGGAATTGCATGCGCTCAAAATATCGCGAACTTTTTCAAAGCGCTAGTAATACTTTTTTCGTTGATTGAATTATATTGTACACTTCTTATTACCAAGCGATAATAAAAAGTAGGCGTTACAAATCAAATCAACGAGAAAAGTCATTACCAGCTACATATTCTGAAAACGATTTCGCGAAATCTTGTCAAATTCTAAATCGCCAGCAATTAGAGATGGATGGAAGAGTTTTGCGGACGAATTAGTAGAAGCGTTCAATGAATCCATCAGCCTTTCAAGAGCAAAATGTGTACTGCATTTCCAGCTTCAAATATGGCCGTCGAGACATATCAGACAAGGCAAGCGGTATATTACCAATTTTCAGGATTAATCACCAACGACACAAAAACTGGCTATCACAGCTTCCAGCAGGACAGTAGGAGCAAACGGCTCCTATAGGGTAGATGATCGAAAAGTTGTAGTTGCCTCTGCAATGTTTCGAAAATTTTTGAAGTAACAAATGTGAAAATGTCGTTCTACCCGGGGCTATACATGCACGATGTTAGGTAAAAGGTTCCACAATTTTGTACAGCGCATCCAACACGCATATTATTCCACCAAGCCATCTAAAAATAGCGAATATTAAGTTTCTACATCGTAATAAAGTTAAAGATATAAACAGAACGAACTTTCCCCGCAAACAAGTGGCAAAGTTTGAACTCCTAAGTTATTATCTTAGACCAACTTGTAACAGCGCCTACAATGCTGTCACTTGGAAAGAAGATCATATTAGATCTGAAACCAACTGTTGCCAATTGACTCCACCAGGTAGCAACGGCCTTCAAAAAGTCCTTTTATCCGCATGTCAAATATTATAAACATTACATTCTGAATAGCTCCTTCCAGGGTTGTTTGGACAGTAGGCAGTATACGAATGTTTTGTCTAAATCCGCCTAAAGCATATTCAGGCGTCGGCCATGTTCGACATATGCTCACTAGCTGCTGCGCGTATGACTCAGCATCACAATCGTACTTCTGAAATAGTTTGTTTTTGTAGCAAATTCACACCAAAAGTATCTGCAGGAAGAAAGTGATGTTACCATTCGATAAATAAGCGCTGCGGGAGGAGCAATTCCCTAATTAAGACTGACTTTAGTTTGTCCTCTTGCCAAGCTTCCTCTAAACATGAAAATTTCAAGCGACTTAATTTATTAAGAGGAGTGCATGGTT